AGAGTCTGATCCTAAGCCCCTGTGGCAGCTGTTGATCTACCATTGTCTCTCTCTTTCTCTCTGGGCTTCACCAGCAGCTGCGCCTCTGTTTCTCTCTGGGCCTCTGTGGGGGCTGGTGATCACCCCTGCCTCTCTGCTCAGGCCCAGCGATAGGCCCATAGACGCTGACTTGCATAGAAACTAACCACTCAGAACTAAATCTGGGTGACCTGTGAGGAGCCAATGGGTGCCTAAGAGGCAGACCTTTTGACACTGACTGGCATAGAAACTGACCAATCAGAACCAAATCTGGGTGAACTGTGATGAGCCAATGGCTACCTAGGAGGTGGAGCTTTTGGCTCACTGGCATAGAAACTGACCAATCAGAACCAAATTGGCCAACATGGGAAGGCAGTTGGGGGTGAGATCAGGCTTGCAGGGGAGGGCAGTTAGGGGTGATCAGGCAGGCAGAGGCAGTTAGGGGTGATCAGGCCAGCAGGGAAGGGCTGTTGGGGTGAGATCAGGCTGGCAGCGGAGGGCAGTTTTGAGCAAGATAAGGCCAGCTGGGGAGGGCTTTTGGGTGTGATTTTAGGCCTGCAGGGGAAAGCAGTTGGGGGCAACCAGGTTGGAAGGGGAGGGCAGTTGGGGGTGAGATCAGGCTGGCAGCGGAGGGCAGTTTTGAGCAAGATAAGGCCAGCTGGGGAGGGCTTTTGGGGGTGATTTCAGGCCTGCAGGGGAAAGCAGTTGGGGGCAACCAGGTTGGAAGGGGAGGGCAGTTGGGGGTGAGGTCAGGCTGGCAGGGCATGGCCATTGTGGGTGAGATCAGGCCGGCTATGGAGGGCAGTTAAGGGTGATAAGGCAGGCAGAGGCAGTTGGGGGAAAACCAAGTCAGCAGGGGAGGGCAGTTGGGGATGAGATCAGGCCTGTAGGGAAGGACAGTTGGGGGCAACCAGGTCAGCAGGGGAGGGTAGTTGGCAGGATCAGGCCAGCAAGGAAGGGCAGTTAGGGGTGATCAGGCAGGCAGAGGCAGTTGGGGGCAACCAGGTCGGCAGGGGAGAACAATTGGGAGCAAGATCATGCTGGCAGGGGAGGGAAGTTAGGGGCAATCAGGCAGCCAGGCAGAGGCAGTTAGGGGCTATCAGGTAGGCAGGCAGGTAAGCGGTTAGGAGGCAGCAGTCCCAGATTGCGAGAGGGATGTCCGATTGCTGGTTTAGGCCAGATACCTGTGGGATCGGGCCTAAACTGGCAGTCGGACATCCCACAAGGGGTCCCCGATTGGAGAGGGTACAGGCTGGGCTGAGGGAATCCCCTGTCCATGCACAAATTTCATGCACCGGGCCTCTAGTAAAGAGATAAAATCATATTTCACATATTAAATATATACAATTATATTTGTCAAAAAAGAGTTATATCCATTTTTCAACCGCATATTGTTATTTTAAATGCAAGATTTTTTTGGTATGTATTATGAAAGTAAATTGATGCTTTCTAGCCAGGTAATAATAGCTGTACAAGCATTACATATTTCAAATATTGTAATAAACATTGTACATTTACCCACAGAAAGGCTGCCCAGGGTAACTATGTATCTATTTATCGATCTGCCTGCCTTCCTGTCTGTCTATTCACGTGCGCATTTGACTGGATTTACATCAATTTAATATTAGCAGTGGTTACTTGAGTCAGTGAGAAATTTTTCAGTCACTTAACAATTTTTAAAAAGGCGTGGACTTGGTATGTGGGTCCGGCTAATAGTGTTTGAATATGTCACTGCACAGGTGAGAATCCCTGTTAGAACCTGGTAGGAATTGCTCTTCTCAGGAAGGGTATGTTTCCTCTCTCAGTGTGGCTTTGCCTCCGGAATTCCTGGTTCACATGCAGGACGGAGCTCTAAAGCTTTTAGAGGCCTCTCTCTTACAGGCTTTCTGCAGGCTCTCAGCTCCTGGAGGACTTCAGTGGGCACTGCCCTTTGCTCCTCCAATTTGTCCTAGTGTGCAATGTCCTTTT